AATATTGGTTTACATTTTTTGAACGCAGATAGTTTTTAATATCGTCTGATTTGAAAGAACTTTCACAGTCAGATGTCAGTTTTGTTGGATGGTATTTGTCAACGAATATTGTCAAAGCAGTTTTCACATCTAAAATATTTTTGGACTGTAATGGTATTTCACAGTATCTTGTGTTTTGACCGACAAATATTAGCCAGTATGGTGGTCCATCTTCTCTATACCTTGGAATGTTTTCCAAGATATCCATAAACCAAGCATTTGGTGTTGAACTAAAGATTTTTATCATGAGTGCTTTCTTTGTCGCTTTAGAAACATAGGGGTCCTTGTTTGGATTCGTCATTTTTACCCTGTAAGAAATGGGTTTATTTGGCGCATTAGCAGGAGTCGCATCTAGATTTTTACCCGCAGTGGGAACACTAGCCAGAGGTGTATTTGGAGTTGGAAGGAAGATTTTGAGTACATTAGGTATACTGAAAGAGAAAGCACAACCTATTATACAAACTGTACAGAAAGGTTGGGATGTAGCACGAGATGCAGCAAATCTTATTCCAAATCCTGAAACAAGAGGAAAAGTTCAAGGATGGATGGACAATGTAGGAAGAGAAGCAGGAAACTACTATAACAAAGCAAATGACTACTATAACCAAGCAGGACACTATATGGACCAAGGTGAAAGATTCTTTAACAGAGGATATAACCATGCACAACAGTGGGTAAACAACAACCAACCTCAACCGCCTCAAACGTGGGGAATGTAAATTTTTTTACTGAGATGAAATGAACAATACAGCATTGAGACAAATGGGTTCAAGATGGATTTGTCGACTTCCAGCAGTTACACAACCACGTGTTTGTCAAGTTCTTCCTATACCTCAGGAAGTTTTAGACCGACTTAAAAAACAACAACAACCAGTTGAAAACAAACCAAACTAAAATTTTTTACTGAGATGAAATGACGGAAGAAGTTGAAACGGTAGATTTGACACCACAAACAAAAAGTTCAGAACCATTGTCAAAACCTGTCAAAGAACTTACAGATGAAGAGAAAAATTCAATAATAGAAAGTGCCAGGTCTGGAAATACAAACCCTAACTATAAAGTCACTTTTCATAGAAATGGAACGGCAAGTATCTCAAAAAAGAAACAGACTCTCACAAATAAAATATTGAAGTCTGAAGGAACTAAAGAGACAACAGATGGAAAAGTTTATTTCACTGACCAACAGTTCATTATAGAACATCTCATTGACTTAGAGTCGAAATATTCTAAACTTTACAACAAACACAAAAAGTTGAAAGGAAAACAAAAACAGATGGCATATGATATTTATGAAGATGTTGACGACACTACTATTTCAGCAAGTGAGGTAAAGTCAGAAGAACCGAAAAGTGACGAAAAACCAATAGAAGAAGGGGAGCCAAAAACTGAAGATAAACCAAAACCAAAGTTTAGTCTCCAGACTAAACCAAGTCAACCTTCATTAGCTGGTATGGGTTGGCGTCAAAGACTTTTGGCAGCGGGTGGTTACGTAAAGTAAAGAAAAAACATTTTTTTTATTTTTATAGAAATGTACGCTGAGTCTGTCGGAAAAGACCGTTGGGAAGACATAGATGAAGAAGTCTTTACAAAACATTGACGATGAAGTTCATGAGAAATTAGATGAAGAAAGTTCATGAGAAATTAGATGAGAAATATGAAATGGCATACCATTTAAAATAAAACATTTTTTAAAAAAAAAAACATTTTTTTATTTTATTTGAAATGTACGCTGAGTCTGTCGGAAAAAGACCGTTGGGAAACTTGTTTGTTAGATGAGAAATATGAAATTCACTGTTGTGAGTCATTTGAAGTCAGAAACAAAGAGACAAAAAGAGTTTTAAGCGGGGGAGCGAAATGACGGATATGCTATGATGAATCTGGGTGGAAAATGCTATTTAAAACATGTTGTCATTGCAACTCATTTTATACCGAATCCTAACAATTTACCTTTTGTAGACCATATAAACCATATAAGAAATGACAATAGACTTGAAAACTTACGCTGGGTCACTTGTTCTGAAAACAATAAGAACATAGGCAAAATTGGAGATATTGTATTCGAATTTGTCGACAAACTAGAAGACGAAGCAATTGAAATTACAGACTATGGTAAGCATACGTTGGAGTTTTACTACTATAGCGAAGAACAAGACTCTTTCTACTTTTATACCGGCGTAAACTATAGAAAATTACAAGTATGTTTTACTAAGGCGGGCTATGCTTATGTAAACGCTAGAGATACAGATGGAAAATACGTTAGACTATATCTTAACAAATTCAAGAAGCTATATGGCATACCATTTTAAAACGTTTTTTAAAAAAAAAATTTTTTTATCCGATAGAAAAGATGACGAAATTCATCTCAGTAAACAAGTATATGTCAGGACTTAAAGAAGAACTAGACCCATTCATATATTTGAATGTTTACTTCTACCATTTTGAAAAGTCTTCATTTGACAAAGTTTGGAACATCGAACCAGTTAAGTTTGCTATTGTGACTAAAAATGGTGCGAAATTTGAAGACTTAGACATAGAAGGTTTGTTAACAGTCAAAGAAAATTTTGACAGAAAGTTCTCAAAACTCGAAGAAGGTAAAGCATACAAACTTGTTATACCTTATGAACCAAAGAAGACAGACGACTATGAATATTATGAGTCTAAGATAGTTGAAGTTCAAGGTAAATTGGGTAAAAAGATTTTAGAGTCTAAGCCAGTGTTTGCTCCTAAAGAGGAAGAGAACATTGACATTGACCCAGAAATGTTCTAAAAATAAAATTTTATTTTTACATGTCATATCTCACCTTCTCTGGAACTGGTTCAGGTTCTTTCTTCTCTTCTACTTTCTTTTCTTTCTTTTCTTTCTTTTCTCTCTTCTTCTTCTTTTCTGGTGGAGTTATGTCAAATTTCTCAGAACCATATTTATGTAAAAGTTCTTTGTCCTTTAATAGCTCTTCTATTCTGTTTTCTATTTCATCTTCAAGAACAGCGCATGTGTCTTCTTTGCATTCTAAGAAATTTTGTTGGACTTCATCTTTCCAATCGGTGTCATCTCTGTCAACAAGTCTGTCATTGACAAACTTAAAGACTTCTCTGCCTAATGTTTTATGGTTCTTGTCATATTCCCAGAAACAGAACTTTAGAACAAATTCCCCTTTCTTGTTTACACTATGTAAGATTTTATGGTCGACAGATGTTTTGCTGTCGAAAAGCTTGTCTCGAATATAGATAGCGAAATCGCTAGACATTTTCAAAAAGATAAAAATTTTAATTTTTCTAAAAATATGTTAGAAAAAAAGTTTGCTGACATTGACAAGAAATTTGAGAATGTTTTAAACAAGAACAAGAGGAAGTTAGAAAATGCTCAGATAAAACCCATACATGACAAGTTCTTATTTGCTCAGAATGGTATAACAGGTCTAATCGCACCACCTGGGTCGGGTAAGACTTTCACTTATCTTAAAATGGCTGCACAACAACAAGAACTAGATGAGAAGAACCCATTCTATGAGTTAGTAGTCATTTGTAGTACTTCTGGTCAATTTGACCAAACCGTCAATTCGTTCAAAGATATTATAAAGAAGTCTAAGTTAGTATGTATAAAGACTCTGAGTTGTTAGATTGGATAAAGAAGTACCAAAGAAGGGTTTTGAAGTATAATGCTATAAATGAGTATGTCAATTCGAAGTTTAAAGACCCAAATGAGGAAATGCAGAGAATATTAGAGAAGAAACACTTCAGAAACAAACAGAAAGAGATAGAATACATTTCGAAGAAATTGCAATCTTACGATTGGAAGACATACCCTCATAGATGTCTTCTTATCTTAGATGACTTTGCTTCTCATCCTTTGTTAAAGAACAGAGAACAAGACATGTGTCGAATTCTCAAGAAGCTCAGACACTTTAACATCTCAGTTGTCATTTGTGTACAGACAGCAAAGAGTTTAAGTAAGGATGTAAAGAGAATACTTACTGATATCATACTTTTCCCTGGATTGTCCGAAGACGATTTCATGGAACTTATGAAAGAGTCCATGGCAGGTAAGTTTGACAGACATGAACTATGGGAGAAGTACAAAGTCATACAAGACCCTCATACTTCTTTCAGAATTCATATCTACGCGAACAAAGTTCAAATTGTAAAAAGTCAAGCTTGAAAAATGTAAGTGTTTAGTCTTAGTCTGTTGTGGTGCTGGGGCTGTCGGTTCTTCTGGCTTTGGAAGACATTCAGGAAGAGGAACGTCGGACATTCGTTTGTGTCCTGTCGGAAGGAAGAACTTTTCCAGTTGTCGGGAAATTTTTTTCCAGTTGTCGGGAAATTTTTTTCCTGTCTGAAGGAAAAATTTTTTCTGTCGTTCGACCAAAAAGTTCTCAATTTTCGAAAATTTGAATGGTTTACGGACGAACAACAGGAAAATTTTTTCCAGTTGTCGGGAATTTTTTTTCCAGTTGTCGGGAAATTTTTTTCCAGTTGGAAGGAAATTTTTTTCCAGTTGTCGGGAAGAACTTGGAATGTCGGAAGGAAGGACTCGGAATGCCAGAAGGATTTGACAAGACAATTTACCTTATAGAGCTACCTGAGCCATCTTTGGTGTCAAGCTTGAAAAATAAATGGTTCATCTACTCTACTTGTTTGAAGTTGTCAAAATACTCTGTTATTTTTTCTTTCAGTAGCGGCAAATCTTCTTTGAAGGTAAGAATTGTACAACCTTTAATATCATAGTGTGTTTGAGGTAAAGTATCTTGAACTATTTGTTTCACATCTTCATTCGGTGTCATTGAAATCGGTAAGTTTTCGCGATAGAACCAATTTCTGTCAGATTTGTAAATCTTAGCAAGGTCGTAAAAGCTTTTGTTGTTTCTTCTGACTAAATGCAACATAACCATATCTCTGTCTTCTTCATTTTCCATCTCTTCAGTGTAAATCATATACTTATAGTTCTTTTCCTTTCCTTTTGGTACCGAACGTGGTATTCTTTTCTGTATGTTTTTGTCTTTGGATTCAATGACTTCATCTTTTGCTTGAAGTTTCTTTTCCATCTCTTCACGTTCTTGTCTATGAATTTCGTCAAGAAGTCTGTAAATATACCAAGCATAACGAGGTGAAGCCCACATTGCAACAGCATTTACAAGAAGTCTATGTACATACCAACCTCTCAAACCATTTGGCAATTTTTCACGATTTTCATAGAGTTTTGGCGACTGCGGTTTTTCTCCCACTCGCTGTTCTTCACTGTTTTCATAGAGTTTTGGCGACTGGGGTTTTTCTCCCACTCGAGTTTTTGCGACTACGAGAAAATCCGTAGTCGAATTTTCAGCTTCATTTAATAGTTCAATAGTGCTTTGGTTCCTAAACCAGTCTTTAGGAAGCTTGGTATCTGGCGCAAAACATGCTGTCAAAATACTTTGCATTTGGTACATATCGTCTTTGACCGAACGAATGAGACGTAACTGTTTGTTATACTGAACCCACTCGTATTCTTCATCTATGGCTTCATGAACGATAGCAGTTGTTGTGTTCTCTGTTGTTGACATATCTGTCTTTACATACAAAATAAAAAAATAAAAAAAAATAAAATTAGCGTTATTTTCTATCTTGTATAAAAGACCAAAAATAAACGCTTTACATGTATTTTTCAGCAACTTCGTCAAATAATTTTATAGCACTATCTATCTCATCTACTTCAAACGTTTCTTTACCTTTCGTGGGAGCACCATACAATTTCTCAAACTTTTCAAGTAGTTCTGTTTCAGCAGCTCTCATATCGTTAACAAACGCAACCTTAACTCTATTGACTATACTGTCATATCTTTGAGTTATATTAAATGTTCTTCCTATCTTATATCTCTTTGTATTGAAGTCCTTCGGTTTCTGAACGATGTAAAGTAAGCCTTCACTGCAACGTTCCGTATCGAATGAACCATATGTTATGAAATTATATCCAACAACTGGGTCAATCCAGAACAAAACTACTGGTATAAGACTTTTGTCTATAAGATATGCTCTTGTTCCATAGAATCTTACCGATATCATAAGCTCAAGATTTTTTGTCAAAATTTTCTGAGTAGAAGCATTTTTAACCCAGTCGTGGGATGTTTTCTTTCCTTCAGATAGTGTTAAAATGTCTGACAAAGAATATTTTTTGTATTTCTTTGAGTATCTTACGTTTAAATCACCTATTCTAACCACTTTGGTCTCATTGTCTATCTTTTTAACTGTTTCAAACTCAGTGTTTGTCATTTCTGTTCTTACATACAAAATAAAAAAAATAAAAAAAATAAAAATAACTTTATTTTTTCTATCTTAAGGAAATTCATGATTTTTGTTGCTGAATTCAATAAAAATATATTTTAGGTGAAGAGGTGAGATTTCACCTGTTTTTTCACCTAATTTTTCACCTCATGAATTTTCATGATTTCATCGTACATGTTTTGTCAAGACTTCTTCGTACATGAATTTTCATGATTTCATCGTAAATGTTTTGTCAAGACTTCTTCGTAATGAGCGTAAATGACCCAAAAATATATTTTAGGTGAAGAGGTGAGATTTCACCCGTTTTCTCACCTCTTTTCTCACCTCTTTTTTCACAAGCGTTTTACATGAATTGTACGATGTATATTTGAAATCCTAAACAATTTCGTAGCTTCTATTTCTTCTTTTAGTATGTCAAATGTTTTAACGATACCGAATGTTTCTTTATATTTCTTCTTGACATCAGATAGAAGGAAATCGTCAGCAGTTGGATAGTTTTTGTTTAGAAATGTCAACATGTCCATTTTATCTTCTGCTGGTTTCTCTGCTTCTTTCTTTAAATCTGCATAGTCGTTTCGCATACGTTCTATCTCTTTGACGGAGTAGTTATATTTCTTCATTGCTGCTTTACATTTTGAACATTGTGGGTTCATTTTAGCATTGTACATTGAAATTTGACCTGCTAGAACAACTAAGGCGTCAATGGTTTTCTTTAACTCAAAAGTTGCTGGTTTTATCTGTTCGTTCCATACTTTACCTCTTTTATCTTTATCTCTTATCTGCCATACACATTTTGCAACTAACGAAACAAAGTTGTCGTAGGTCTTAAACTCCCCAGATTTATATATGTCAGAGATGTTCTTATATACCATATCGCAATCTTTGTCCATGACTTTGTGGTTGCAATGAAATCCAAGAAACTCATAGTTTACCTTTCGAATGAACTTCTTTATTTCTACTGAGTCAGTTGCTTTGACTTCTATTTCATCGAATTCAGGAATAGTAAGCTTTTGTTGTTGTATTTCAGGAAGTTTAGGTAGATGGTCAATAATATCCTGCATTTCATAAAGATATTCTTCATTTGTTTCATCTTTCGCACTACAGCCTAAATCTCCTTGGAGAAGTTCTTGCTTTATCTTCTGGATTTCTGTTTCGAAAGTATATGAAGAAGGAATGAAGCTTTTCATTTCTACTAACATTGAAGTTGGGTTCATGACTAACGAGTTTGGTGAAGTTGTTGCTAACATGTTCTTACAATAAAAATAAAAAAATATTTTTTTTAAAAAACTAAAATATATTTTTATCTTAAGGAAATTCATGAAAATTCAACGGGTGAGAAAAGAGGTGAGAAAAGAGGTGAGATTTCACCTCTTCACCTAAAATATATTTTTGTCGAAAAAAATGGTTCATTTACTCACAATATTTTTGTACAAAACAACCCCAAGCTTTTAACCTCTCTTCTGCAGCTTCTAATGCTATCTTAGCGAGTTCATATTCTCTAAATTCTCTCTTTAAATCTTCTTGTTCCCATTGGTCTAGTTCGTATGGCGAGTCTCTATAACCAGAACATATCTCACGTTCATGTTCTATTTGTTTTTCATGCATTTTTCTAACTTCTTCTTCGAACAAAGGTTTTGCATTCTCTACTGTATCTTCAAGTTCTTCTTCATCTAATTTCTCATGAACTTTCTTGTCTATGGAGTCCATAATTTTTCCAACTGCTATGCAATATTTTGGAGAAGCCCACATTGCTATATAGTTTACGAGTCTTGGGTCTACATACGTTCCTCTAACCTGTTTGATTTCATCCGGAATTCCTGCATGAACCTTGTATAAAAAGCAACCGTCGGAATTCCGGCGGTTGGTATATTCTTCACAAAATGCCGTATAGTACTCTTCCCAGGACTTATTTTCCAACAACTTTCTAAAGTCCTTCCTAAACTGCTGACACATATTTGTTGCATTTATATAACCATCCTTGTCTCTACGTAAGACTTCAATACCGTTATAAGTGCCTTTTGTGAATGTTTCGCCATTAGATTTGTTCGTGAACGTTTTTGCTTCGACTGACATTTCTGTTCTTACAATAAAAATAAAAAATATTTTTTGGTGGGACGTCGGACATTCGTTTGTGGCTTAACCGTCGGACCACAACGATAAAAATCTCGACAAAACATATACGATGAAGTCTCAACAAAACATTTACGATGAAGTCTTAACAAAAAATATACGATGAAATCTATTTCCTGTGTTGTTGTCAAAATGTCATGTTGTCACACTTTTTCAAAAAGATGTTAGTTGACCGAGTGACCGAGTGACCGAGTGACCGAGTGACCTGGTCGCCTAAAATATATTTTTTTCTATCTTAAGGAAATTCATGAAAATTCACCTGTTGAATTTTGTATAAAAAGCAACCCGCTGTTTTCCGCGGGTTGGTATATTCTTCACAAAATGCTTGTTTTGAGGTCGAGCCACTTTTGGCTCCACCTCTTTTTTCAACCAAAAACTCATTTTTGTCGAATTCAGCACAAAATTCATGAAAATTCAACGGGTGAGAAAACAGGTGAGAAAACAGGTGAGAAAACGGGTGAAATCTCACCTCTTCACCTAAACATTATTTTTCAATACTTTTTCAGCACTTTTCCGTAGTTGTATATGAAAGACAATTCGAGATAAAAGTCATAGTACAATGGTATAATATGCTGCACACCGTTTGTTGTGAACCAAACTTGAAAGTCAGAGAAACTGTTACTAGGTGGTTCGTAGAATTTAGAAGCAAAGTCATAAAAGTCCTTACCAATACAAAGAAAACTACTGTTGCTTGAACTGAAACTTGCATGACACATAACATTTTGAGGGTCAAACACGTTTCTATAAACTGTCAAATCTGTTGGTGGGCGTATAAATTTAAACGGACCGTCAGGTGGTAATGGTTCGTTCTGGTTTAGTAACCGAAGAAATTGTGCCCAAGAACGTTTGTCTACTTGCCAAAATAAAAACTGTGTATCTCTTGGAGGGTTAATTTCAATCTTTTGAAATGAAACTGTGGAGTTCATCTTGTCATATTCTAGCTTCAGATAGTATGTTCCATTTAGTAAAGAATCGTATTTTTCTTGAAATTCCCAGTAGTATTTGTTTATTTGAGTTTGAAAGTCATTTAGAGTCTTCTCAAGGTTTTCGTCTGAACGAATTGTAAAGATTCTCATTTCATCAAATTTGTCTATTAGACCATCAGAACCTCTATACTGACCATGAAAATATACTGCAAACATAAACGCGTTAGTTCTATTTGAAAACAAAACTCTTCTAAATCCTATTGCCTTTGCATCTGAAGGACTTTGAAGCCAACGAATTGGATAGTCAAACCTGTAAGTACGGGATGAAATTTCTTCATCTGAAAGATTTCTACCAGTATTTGTAAAGATATAGTCTAACGGTTTTGTATCTGCTACTTTTGTTCTTTGTTTTTCAACCTGAAGCATTTAATATATGTAAAAATATACTGTTTTAAAAAATGTTTTAAAATGGTATGCCATATAGCTTCTTGAATTTGTTAAGAAGTATTTGAACGTTTTTTCCATCTGTATCTCTAGTGTTTACATAAGCATAGCCATCCTTAGTAAAACATACTTGTAATTTCCTATAGTTTACGCCGGTATAAAAGTAGAAAGAGTCCTGTTCTTCGCTGTAGTAGTAAAACTCAAACGTATGCTTACCATAGTCTGTAATTTCAATTGCTTCATCTTCTAGTTCGTCGACAAATTCGAATACAATATCTCGAAATTTGCCTATGTTCTTATTGTTTTCAGAACAAGTGACCCAGCGTAAGTTTTCAAGTCTATTGTCGTTTCTTATATGGTTTATATGGTCTACAAAAGGTAAATTGTTAGGATTCGGTATAAAATGAGTTGCAATGACAACATGTTTTAAATAGCATTTTCCACCCAGATTCATCATAGCATATCCGTCATTTCGCTCCCATCCGCTTAAAACTCTTTTTGTCTCTTTGTTTCTGACTTCAAATGACTCACAACAGTGAATTTCATATTTCTCATCTAACAAACAAGTTTCCCAACGGTCTTTTCCGACAGACTCAGCGTACATTTCAAATAAAATAAAAAAATGTTTTTTTTTTTAAAAAATGTTTTATTTTAAATGGTATGCCATTTCATATTTCTCATCTAATTTCTCATGAACTTTCTTCATCTAATTTCTCATGAACTTCATCGTCAATGTTTTGTAAAGACTTCTTCATCTATGTCTTCCCAACGGTCTTTTCCGACAGACTCAGCGTACATTTCTATAAAAATAAAAAAAATGTTTTTTCTTTACTTTACGTAACCACCCGCTGCCAAAAGTCTTTGACGCCAACCCATACCAGCTAATGAAGGTTGACTTGGTTTAGTCTCCAGACTAAACTTTGGTTTTGGTTTATCTTCAGTTTTTGGTTTTTCTTCTTCTATTGGTTTTTCGTCACTTTTCGGTTCATTTGACTTTACCTCACTTGCTGGAATAGTAGTGTCGTTAGTATCTTCATAAATATCATATGCCATCTGTTTCTGTTTTCCTTTCAACTTTTTGTGTTTGTTGTAAAGTTTAGAATATTTCGACTCTAAGTCAATGAGATGTTCTATAATGAACTGTTGGTCAGTGAAGTAAACTTTCCCATCTGTTGTCTCGAAAATTCCTTCAGACTTCAATATTTTATTTGTGAGAGTCTGTTTCTTTTTTGAGATACTAGCCGTTCCATTTTTATGAAAAGTGACTTTGTAGTTAGAGTT